GCCTAACCAGGACTTTTGAACAGAGTGAAAGTTAAATTCAGATATATATTCTTGGGACAAAATTTTATGTTATATGTTCTTGCATCAGAGGCCTATTTTTCAAGTTGCTTCAGAGACTGCATGCGCGAAAATTTGGTGCATGCGTGCGCATAAGACAAATATTTACCAGATTTCGGTGCATGAAAGTGTGGGCAACGAATACCCGGAATTTATCATTTGTTTTCTTTGCTGCAGGTACAGTGGGAAGGAATTAAGCGAAGGATTTCATTCAATGCGTGCTGTGCTGGTAAATCATGTAACTGATGGAGGCGTGTCGCCTAAAAGTAATAAAAAGTTGCATCATCTGAGATCGAACAACTTTCATCCCAAGACCGTCTTGGCTACTCATGCATATCGACACGGTGAAGCTTTTTTATGCGTTTTTTGCAGCTATGCAATGCAGAAAACGCATATTGACGAGGGGTTGCCTTTGTGTGTGTGTGTTCGTCTGTACCGGTTTTTCATCTCGAGACCTGCAAAAGCTACGGGGCTGAAATTTTGGGAATTTAATCTACATGCATGTATGGTCCCCAGCCCCCAAAGTGAGTGCTCTTACCCGCGTAGTACCCACGTACGAGCCCGCTAAAGTTTTTTTACGGGTAAGCTGCTAACTCGGAAACCAGAAATGCTGGGTGGCTGAAATTTAAAGAGGACTTTCCCCATCCAAGCAGGTATTAATGAGCTCAAACCCAGTCCCCGGGTAGGCGTGGTACCCACGTACGGGTTCGCCAAAATTTTTTTCGGGTAAGTCGCTAACTCGGGAATCTGAGAAGTTAAAAGGCTGAAATCTTAAGGGGATGTCCCCTGTCCAAATGGATATTAATGAGCTTAAACCCAGCCCCCGGGTAAGTGTGATACCTACTTACGGGGCCGTGAAAGGTTTTTTCGGGTAAGTTGCTAACTCGGGAACCTGAGAAGTTAGAAGGCTGGAATTTTGAAGGGATGTTTCCTGACAGTCCTGGCGCCCAGTCTGGAATTCTTTTAGCTAGAAGCATCTGCCGGAAAAAACAGAACGACAAGAATCTGCGCGGAACTGTGCAAAAAACGCATCTTCGCACGGCAGCCCATGCTTTGGGCAATTATTTTTACTTGTTTCTAACTTTAGTTGTTTCGTTGTTGCGCTCCTGCGATAATATTTCTGGGCAGTTGCTAGAACTCGGCTTGGCCACGCAATATGCACTCGTCTTTGAGTTCGGGTTCAAACTGCGAAAATCGTGGCACCAAATTCTTTTATCTGTGCGAGGATCTGGGTGTTGCATTCAAGATTGCCAGCTCCTCCTCAGCATCGAGTTTCATGCTGAGCATAAAAAACTTATATACCTCCATCCTGTAAATTCCATCTCTGTTCCCATTTTTTACCTCCAAGCAAGGTCTCAGCTCCTTCCTAGCCAGTAATCGCTCCCCTCCGCAGTTGTACCGCTCCATCTCCGCCATCCAATTATTGTAAGTCGTCTCGAATCTTTTCGAGTCAGGATGAGTTGTAGCAATAGCCTACTTTTGGCGATTACTACTGCCGAAGTTGTGTAATATCGTGATTAGCTGGTTGGAGGTTTTGGCACTTTTTCCTTTGTTCTTTTTTTGAAAGGATGCTATGCAAAGCAAGCATGCTTCTCTTTGGTTGCCCTAAAAGAGGGAAAGCGATGTTAAATTTTCATCTTTGCGAGACTGTTCAGTTATCAGAACGCAGCATTTGTGAAGTGATAGCAAATTTATCAGAATTAGTTATCATTTGTGAAAGAAAAAAGTGGTAATGTTTTTGAAAACTCTAATTTCAGGTAAAGAAGATAAGTGGAAACGCTGCTATTTGGTACTGAGCGATTCGAATGGTCCGCAACTGTATCTTTTTGAGCATGAGAAGGTACAAACTTTGTGGATTTCCTATCGGACTTCAGTGTAACACATAAATATAAGTAGATAGTGCTGCCAGAACGCTGACTCTAACGAAAGTTGAAGTTTTCTCGTACTTTGCAGAGGGCAAAGCCGAAGTTGATGTTGGATCTCATGTACTGTCTTGTTTATAAAATTCCGGAAGATGTGTTTAATCGGACGAACTGCTTGCTCGTTTCTCTGAGCGGTTTTGATGAATATCCATCCGTGCATTTGTCATTTCAAAACGAAGGCATCTATTTGAATTGGCTGAATGCACTGCGGCTACGATGCTTTGGCTGCTGCCTTTTGTCTTCTGTTGTTCCCGCTAAACGAACTCATTTTTGTCGTTCGACAACAATCGTCTTCTTAACACTTGCTAATTTTAGGTAAGTTTGAATAATTAAGTTGATGCAATACAGTAAAGCGTTTTATAAAAGCTTCCATGCTTTTACACTTGCGAAATTATATTCTTGAAGTTATGCTGGCGCAGCGGTTTGAAACTTATCAAAGCATAGTTGCAGTGAGAGTATTTTTAATTTTTTTTTTTTTTTTTTTTTGAGTAACATATGAAGTCAAAAACTCAGTGAATGAGGATAGTTCTGGAAAGATCGTGGGATTTTTTTTTGCTCATGACTATGCAGTTCTCGCCGATGTGAAGTTCACACTCATTATCGTATTGTGTGTATTTCCTATCAGCGAAAGCTGAAGTTGGATATTTAGTGCTTTCTCGCGAATTGCCAGTTGTGCTCAAAAAAGATATGTAGAATTTTCAACGCTTGTCTTTGCCTATTTTTGCCTCACCCAGTGCGTTTTTTCAGGGGTACTTACTTCAAGCCTGATTGTACGTACAGTGCATTAGTGATAATTAATGGGATTGTTTTAACAAGAACACGGCAATTGCTACCAGTGAAGAATTGCATCACTTTCGAGAAATCTTTTTTGCTGCAGTGAGTTTGCTTTCATTTTTTTTCACGCATTTCAGAATCATTGCCTTGCATCGCATTCCTTTTTCACGGTTAATGAAGTGTGCGTTTTTTGCATTGTTAAAGTTTTATTGGTTGTCCCTGAATTACATTTTGTTGAAGTCTGGCCAGAT